ACCCCCTTTTGGACCCCCATCTGGACCCCTTCTGGACCCCCATTTGGAGCCCCCTCTAGACCCCCATTTGGACCCCCATTTGGACCCCCTTCTGGACCTGCTATGTTCTCTTCCAGTTTAATTATTTGATCAGGAGCCCGTATTTTCTGGAAGAAAAAATAAGGGGTCCAGATGGGGGTCCAGAAGGGGGTCCAGAAGGCAGTCCAGAAGGGGGTCCAGAAGGGGTCCAGAAGGGGTCCAGATGGGGTCCAAAAGGGGTCCAGTAGGGGGTCCAGATTGACGGCTCCATGTTTTGTACTGACCCCACTGCACCTCCATGCAAAGGAAGATAAAGCTCAGTGAAAACTGCACCATGTAATGTAAATTTAAATTAACATACTTAATTGCAGGACACTTTTTAATTTTTGCTGCTGAAATTTATTTTAAGGCCAACAGCATTCACGGAGAAAGCACTAACTGAAGACAAACAAGATGCCAAAGAAATAAACAGGTACAGTGTTTTTTGCACGCAACAGACCATACTAGAGGGTTTTCATTAACATTTTCAGCAGAAGGGCAAATGGTTTTCACAGGTGGGCAAAACATTTTGAACTGAACTTCTTTGTTTAAGAAAAACTTTCCGCTAGATGTTCAAACCAGGCAGGCAAAAGCGTCCTCTGACAGCTAGTCAGTTTACCCGGTGCCTGGCCCTAGAAATAATGAAACCTCTGCTAGCATTAGTAAGATTGTTATTATTCATATTGTGAGAGATTATCATCATTACATGACTATAACTGCAAGTCAGTTGTGGCTTTTTGTGAAATAACAATAAGCTCTTTGTTATTTAGGTTACAAAAACATTTCCTCTGCCCACTAGGAGAGTGGGATTAAGACTAGCATGAACTAAGTACGTAGTCAGTGGTAGAGGTAGTTAAAATCAGAGACTGCTGGCACAGTTTGAGGTGACTGTCAACTGATAACTTTCATGATGCTTTTGCTCTGAAAAATTTACACAACGTCTTACTTCTGAAGTCTGTAAACATCATACAAGTATTATTTGATTCATTGAATATCAGAGATGTGCTCATGGTAAACATTTAGTCACATTTACTTAACAATGTTTTATCTTCTTTCTTGGTAGCAACTTACATATTCATGGTAATAATGGCATCAATAATGATGATGATGATGACGACGACAAGGACGATGACGATGATGATGATGATGATGACCTGTTTGTAAATCCAAACCACCAGAAGACAACATGCTATGTTGATTCAGACTCCAGTGAAGAAAGTGAAGACAATGAAGAGTGACATCCTATAATTAATTTTGTTAAAAAGCAAGTATATTCCAGACCGAAGGGACATGTCTGTTATGGAAATAGGTGTCCTGGGGTAGGAAGAACTTCATGAAATGAAATTTCATCACTTTGGAGACAGTGAACTCTTTGCAGTGGCTTGAACCTTTGCTGATGGGCCAACACGTTTACAAGCCAAATGAAATTTAACATCACACGATATTATAATATTACAGCTTAACTCCTATTAAACAGCCACCCTTGGGGAAATGGATAGTGGCCATTTACAAAGTGAGTATATTCCAGACCAAAGGGACATGTCTGTTATGGAAATAGGTGTCCTGTGGTAGGAAGAACTTCACCAAATGAATTCTATCACCCTGGAGACAGTGAACTCTTTGCAGTGGCTTAAACCTTTGCTGATGGGCCAACACATTTATGAGCCAAATGAAATTTAACGACATCACACGATATATTACAGTTCAACTCCTTTTAAACAGCCACCCTCGGGGAAATGGATAGTGGCCATTTAAAAGGGGCTGGCCGCTTAATAGAGGTAAAAATAATAGAAAAGCCCTCATCAGGACTTTGATTACTGGCTGCCTACTAGGGGTGGCTGTTTAATTTTAATGGGTGGCTGCTTAATACGGGTTCAACTGTATTTGGATAAGAGTTAATCAGAGCATATGGAGGATACCGTGTGAAAGTGGATCTTTATTATTTTAAAGGAGATACAGCCTGTATGTCATGGATTGTGGATCTTCTCACACTCTGGTCTCTTGTAACTGAATAGATAAATCTCTACAGAGCAGAGATCAAAGTGCAATAAAAATACATGTCTGGTGAATCTAACAGTCAGATTTTGTGACGATGCACATTGTTTAGAGATGCTGAAAGGTCTCTATCGTCCAAGCTGTGGTTGGGAGTCGAAACATTTTAAGCGGGAGGGCAAGTGGTTTTTCACAGGTGGGCAAAACTATTAGAGCTGAATTTCTTTGTACAACTTTCCACTAGATGGTCAAACCAGGCAGGCAAAATGATATTTTCCTCACAGCAGGTCAGTTTGCTCGATGTCCAGGCCTTAATGAAACCCTTGCATGTGCAATATACTTTATTTGTTTTAAAAAAATTCATTGTAGATGGGAGCTTGTGATTTTCCTTGATTACCTGAATAAGTAACCGTGCAAAGCCAACAATGAAAAAGAAACATACGGAACCTATCGCAAAAAAAATCAATGCATAAACAGGGGCATAAGACACAAAGGAAGATGTAGCGTGTTTCATTATCAAGTGAAAAGGCTGAAATGCCTAAGGTTCATACTCTTTTGGGCTTTTGAAATACCATGACTTTCCATGACCTTTCCAATGATGTTTCCAAGTTTTCCATGACCCATGTTAAGCAGTTGTTCTCAGAATATTGTCAAAACAATCTATTATTTAAGGTATTTTCCCACATTATATTGCATAACATGCGTGCTGGTGTTTATTTTTTAACTGGAATTAACTGGTTTTCTGACTTGTCTGCTGTTTTTTCAATTCTTGACTTTTTTCTTCCCAGTCATTCTTAAAAAGTTTATTTCTTTTCCACGACTTTCCATGACTCACACTTCAGTTTCAGGACTTTACAGGCCTGGAAAATGAAATTGTAAAATTCCATGACTTTCCAGGTTTTCCATGACCTGTACAAACCCTGATGCCCTACCTGCATTTTTAGGGCTACTTTATAACGTCACATGTTAAGAGTGATTACTACAAATCAATCATTTGTTGTTTAACAGGAGTCTGCTATACCAACAGAAATAACCTGATAATACAAAATAATAGTACTTAATTTTCAAGGGACCAGAGAAGAGTTTCAATGTTGTTTATAAAATGTTTATTGAAGGAACCATTATCACTGCAAATGTTTGTACAGTGTTTTTTGTTTACTCAATATCTACTGAATAGTTTGCATGGCAAACAAGAAATGAGATATCTGTTAACTATTTAAACTACGCAGGGCAGGAAAAAACCCACGTCCGATTGCCCAGGGCAAGTAAATTTTGCTCTTGGGAAAGTGAAAATGGAAGTTTGGTGGTCTGGTGGGCAACTGAAATTGAAGGCTTTCGTTCATAAAGGGCATATGTAGCATTTTGGGTCGATTTTTATTTTTTGCAGGATCGAGCTAGTTTTTGGCAGACTGACTTGTTTTGACATGAAAAGCATCGTGTAATTGTTTTTGTTGATTTGGTCTTCGTTTTCGAGAAATAACGTGTGCAAAAAACTCAGTTTTCCAAGGGTATCTTTTGGAGATCTTTTGTTGAGTGAAAAACAAAAGAAACCTTTGTTTTGCTAAATGATGAAGTCACCGAAGTGTGGTATTTGCCGCTAGTTTTATCATTCATATAATTATGCAATTCTCTTACTGTTGCTTCGTTAGCACAAGTGGATAAGGCGTTGAACGGGCCGCAGCTGAGTTTGTTTTGTTGTGACACTGGTTCGATACGAGGTTGGTCGATATTTTTTTTCCGTCTATTTCTCTACTTCTTTCAAAAATCAAAACGTCTATTTAAAAAAAATGGTGCTGTGGAAGCTGCTAAACGTAACCGTTAAGTTTGCACTACGTCAAAGTACACCTTTGAAGGATTCGCTCCAAAAGATGCCGCTCGGAAAACTGAGTTTTTTTGCATACGTTATTTCTCGAAAACGAAGCACAAATCAACAAAAATAATTACGTAACGATGCTTTTCATGTCAAAACAAGTCAGTCTGCCAAAAATTAGCTCGATCCTGCAAAAAATATAAATTGACCCAAAATGCTACATACGCCCTTTTTGCACGAAAGCCTTCAATTAGCCTCAGTAGTCTTGTTAGTGATAATTTCCAATCAAAAACAAATTTCAAAACTTAAGACTACAAGGTGAGCAAAACAATGAGTTGAAAGCATAGATTAATTTAAAGTCAAGCATACTTTGCTCATGTTCATCCTCTGATTGCCATATTGGCCTCCAGATTGAATGCTGCAAACAACAGAAGTCTGGCACTACTAAACCATGCAGTAGATTTAGGATGGCGACGAAAAACAAACATTCTGCATTCCTTTTCCTCATCGCGCCTATTGGGCAAGCAATATTTTAGTGGGGGCAACTGAACACAGAACTGTACTGGCCCACTAGGCAACTGTGTTTCAATTAATTTTTTTTCCTGCCCTGCTGCATGAAAGAATGTCAACTGCATTTCACTTTCACCTTGATGAGCTCAAATGAAATACTTTGAGATGCTTCTCAACTTACAGAGTTTGGAAGGCTAAATTTCAACACGTGGCAGTCCATGTTCAGATGGCTTGAAAAAAGAAAGAAGTGGATTCCAGTCTCTAAATAAAAATGTCTGTCACAGCCTGACAGAGTATCTTTGTAATAAATTTACATCTGGAAGGTTTTTGTACATCGTCACAAACAAAGATTGTGGTAACGCTAGCTTTCAAGACTTCTTAATCTTGTATTTTCCTTTTTGTAGCTGGCCTATATACAACTTTGTTTTTGATCCATCTCCTTTTCTCACCCAAACCTGAAAATTGATGAAAACACTGTCATTGACCACAAATGTTGAAATAGAGGGGAATATCCAACAATTTAGGTACATTTAGTTACGATTGTTACTGTTGAGTTCTAGTTCAAAATGCAAACTTTGTCAGCCATGGCAGAGTAACTCCAATCCTAAATACTCCATTTTGCAAACCCTTTGATACCACATTTAAAAAGTACTCGATACAACTGTTGGCTACAGAGATACAACATTAATATCAAAGAAAGAAATGTGGGAAACAATGAAAGTTACCTCTCCAGTGTTTATTCCAGTAACAAAGGCACTAAAATAAAAAGACCAAAAAAGACACCATTCATAAGAACTACAAAATCACCACCAGAAATTTCATTTTTTTTTTAAAAATGTTTCTCACGTGGATGGCAGGGGGCTAGGTCAGGAGGAGACAGTTATCCCACAGAACTGAAGACAGAAGGGGAAAGAAAAAAGGGCGAGAACAGAGAACAGTTACACCAGGGATGCATAAATAAAGGAAGAAGTCCAAAGAGGAATAGCAGACAGTTATCTCAGGGATTCCTATAATACATGTATTATAATAATAATAATAATAATAATAATAATAATAATAATAATAATAATAATAATAATAATAATTAATAATAATAATAATAACAACAACACCAACAACTACTTTATTTAAGTGTCAAATATATTCAGCACTATTAAATGTGCTAATTGGGGACACTAAATAAATAAACAAATATTTCAAATACATAAACTATTAAGAATCCCAACTGGTTGGAGGCTGACCAGTTGGCTATTTACACAACGCAACCGAGAACAAATCCAGATAGCAGTAGGGTAGAGGATTTGAACCAGGGACCTCCAGATATACACAGTCAGGGGGGAGCATCAAAGGGGGGAGGGTTGTTATACTAGGATGGGATATAAGAATTAAGGCACTGTTCCAAACCAAAAAGATTGAAAGGAAGTAGTATAAGGCTAAACTTAGGTGGGTGGAATAGTCGTACATGATGTTCGAAGGAAAAAGTAAAGAATGGGAACAACAGCATGAGTCAGCCAAACAAAGGTACATTTTTATTCTTTTAATGACTGTTTAGCATTTGTGATAATAACAACTGAGAAGACAAACCTGGAATGCGTATCATTTCTGCTTTCTATCACTACATGATCACCTTTATGGAACCTTAAAAACAAAATAATTGAAACAAATATTGACAATACATTTGTTCATTGCAAGGATCAACAAAGTACACTGGCCAGTGCAGGGCTTGACTTTCAGGAAAACACCCTGGGGCCAACTGACCTCTAAGTTTTCAGATTTAGTTCCCAGCAAAAGTATTTCAGTGAAAAATGTGAAAAGTTAGTCGCCAGTGAAAAAAATTTGGTCGCATTTGCAACCCAAGTGGTTGCAACATTGAGCAGCCTCCGCAGTCAAAAACATGTGCAGTTTCATTGAACAAAGCCTGGGTTAGGACCAACACGATAAGGCTGAGCTCTTACCATGCTCAGTTGCCTGCTTATGGCAACTGGCTTTCATCTTCAGTTGCTTGGTTCGGGGACCCTTTCATACTAAGCACTTGCAAGGGGCCTAATGTATTGCAATAGAATAAATGATACAATACATAGCACATTTCATACCATTCTCCTTCATAATAAAGCTTCCCATCTTCGTATCGTGCACTATAGGGACTCTTTTCTGACTGACACCCACCTACGAGTGAGACTCAACTGTCAGTATTTATTTATTTTTTTGTTATTAGCATTTGACAAGAAAGATTAAAAGTAATGTCAATCAACATTTCAAGGTATCAAGCATCATTCTCAAGGTTGTTGAGGTTGTAAATGTCAATATCAAAGTTGTTATTAAGAGATGAGTTCTAAAAATTCCTAACTGACATTCACAAAGCATTGTTGAAGACATAACAACTTGAACAACCAAGACCAAATATAAATGAATGTAAGAAAAGGTCTCGCTTTATAATCGGAGCAAACCAATACCAAACAAAATCATAATAAAGATTATATGGATGTACACAAATATGTCTACAATAATAATTAATTATTAAACCAGATCTGTGTGATGATTTTAAATAACAGAAAGATGATTTTTGAAAGCAATAGATAATTTCAAACTATTTCACATAAGTGATCCTAATCACAGAAATAAAAATTTTGAAATTGCTTTTAAAATTGGCATTAGTTCTGAGAACTGTCTTGTCCATCAAGACAATATTGATGATTTTCATAACAATCCCAAAATTGACCTCTGTTGGCAATATTTCTTTTAGGTTAAGCAAACAAAACCTTACTTTCTTGCCTTCTTCTTGCTAATGCTCCTTTTGCCTTTGAAAAAAAAAAATAACAATTTTATGAACAAATTAATAAATTTCTATCTGTTCAATCACTTGGCATACAAGGACAGCCCTATCCAATATTAGCCTTTTTTCTGTCACCTGCCGTATGGAAAGTGGTACCATTTTGGAATTTTAGCTGGCAGATGAAGTGTAATGGCTTAAACTTGCACAGTGAGAAACCTGATAAATTCATTTTTTTTTTGCGCATGAAGCTACAGTTAAATGTACAGTGCTGATTTATCAAACTCTTGAACTTCCTGATAACTTAAACCAGGTTAGTTTGTTTGCCTCGAATTGGTTTCACTGATTAACTTTAGCCCTTAGCTAATATCTTGCACTCCTACTTTTCACAAACCAGTTTTGGTTTCTCTTCATGGATGTCAGAGTAATCAGCATTCCACTGTACAGTGTATATGCAACTGTGTTAGAACACTGTTCTTTTAACCCGGTAACACCTGTGCCAACCTTAACCAGCCGTAACAAGCGTTGGCCTTTGTTCTACTTCTGATGTCGTCACCTTTGACTAAAATTGGCATCACTTATACACAAGTTCTGCAGGAGGAAAGGATCTTCCAATGATACCCAGATCAGAGTGATTTGTCTTGTTGCAAATTTCTCCCCATCACAGTTGGTACCTTGTTCAAGACCTAGGTCAAAAAATATCAAATAACACTTCAAGATCATTACCTTCCTGATGGCTGCCCAGTCTTCAAGAATGTCCATTTCTCTCAGCATATATACAATATATGGACTTGAATAAAGTCAAAGAAAATTAAAACTCCAGACAAATGTTTCAGCAACTTCTAGAATCTTTGCAGTTATTATAACAGTACTGTGTTGATTATTGTACTTTTTGAGCTATGTTGCGAGAACTAACCCAATATGTACTAATGGCATCAAGTTATAACCTTTGTAGCATTGTACATTTGAAATAACCACTAATTAGTTTTTCATTGTATTGCAATTCAATTTACTACTCAAGGGAGAATTAAGAATTTAAAATTTATTAGTGACATTAATTGAGTGTGCATTTGTTTCATGTTAAGTACAGATTACAGACACCGGGATAAGCTCTGGCCTGATGGGCCACTTGGCTCATTTTTAACAGATACGACTTTATTGACAAGCTGAGTGACACACATCACAGTCAAAAGGATATCAGTTACAGTGACAGGTTTCCGTCTTTTATCAGAGAGCATGGATCCATCAGAGGACTTCCTGTGTCTCTTGTTTAGAGACTGTGATTCAAGCCAGATATCTGAAACAAAATATATATTAAATTAAATGACATACATGAATTTAATTCCAGTAAAGAAGTAGTTTGGATTTGCTTTCTCAATGGACTTCCAATTAAAATAATTTTGTCACTGGGTTAAGATACAGTAAGACCCCTGAAATGTGTCTCATCAAATACTGTACAATTGGTTTGCATTTTGTTCTTGGGTGCTCTGATTGAAGTGGAATTGACAACAGTCAGGGTTAAAAAATCTGTTTGTGAATGTCAGTTGACTTAATAATTAGTAATTATTATCTCTGGTCATTGAAACTAACTGGTTTTACCATTTAGCTTTAGCTTTGTCATCATGCAATGTTATGGACTATTAATAGACAAGTATAATTTATCAGTTTCACTTTTTGAAGGTTGCTGTTAATTGCTCATTAATGACATAATTAACAGGACATAGATGTATATATGAACATGTCTGAGAATTTTTGTCAAACTGAAGTTCATACATAAAACAGAACAAACATTTTACCTGCTGATATATCCATATTTTGCTTGTCTTCCTCTAATTTTCTTATTTTTTCTTCTAACTCTTGCTTCATACTCTCCATCAAGGCAAGCTTTTCACTCTGCAAGTTTGAGATTGAAGAAAAATATTCAATAATTAAGTTGGTTATGTATGTAAGTGTCGACACACACCTTCACAACCCCTGTAAACACTGCTTTGTTCCCTGCAGGTGTAGTGGAATTTTGCGAGTAAAAAGGTCGAAAACAGAGACCATGCAAGATACCCACAGCTCTAACCAAGGAAGGATGTCTGGGAACTACACAGGTTTCCATACAGATGTCATGAAGGTATCATTTAAGTACACAAGGTTCCAAGTCTCTTTTTAGGTCAAAAAACAGTCTGTCCTCACCTCAAAGTGTTGTATGGCTGCCTGTTCATCTGCATCATATTTGTTTCTTACATTTCCTAACTGAAAAAAAAAATATTTAGTGATAATTTGGTAAACAATAAGCTAAGAACAGCATTTTTCTTATTACATGTAAAACACGAGAAGCCCAGGCACATACATAAACTTACTTTCTTATTTATTTATCCCCATGGCCTGCTGCTGGGCATAGGGAATGAAGTTCAGACTAACATTATTGAATACAATCTACTTACCCTACAATCTCGTAAAATTCCTTAAAACAAAGAAAAGAAAAGAAAGTATTGGTGATGTGATTTCAGTACTGCTTGTGATGGCAAGAGTGCTGTGCCTTAAGTCAAGAAGTCAAGCCATTGGAGATTAATCACTGCATATCTGGTACATACCGGCAACTTCTATTCTTATCTCGCACATCTCCTTTAACTCACTGACTGGCCCCGTGTACTCCATGGCACATTCTGTTATGAAAATGATATCATAGTTACCTAGTTACCATTGACAATGCTGAACTGTACTGAGCCACATTCCTCAACAATTTTGACACTGCAAGTTTGGGAGGGGATAGAGGGCAGCAAAGTCCCCACCCCTCCCCCCTCCTTTCCATCACCACCTCGGTGGTGCTCAAGGGAGAAATCTGCACTTATATCAGTGGAATCTTACTGTTGACAAGAGTTTTGCTTTCAGTATAGTTGTTATTTCTTGTCTGTTCTGTATGCAATAATATTCAAAGCTGTCAAGCAATTACAGCACTAGTTGACTGCACCGAATACCCGAAACGTTTCATATACCCCACCCAACCCTAGAGAACGAACATACCAGATTTGACCTCTTCTAACTTCTTTTCAACCTGGCTAATGCGCTCTCGATAAAGCCTGAAAAGAGAAACCAATATCTGTCACAAATGAATTTTACTGGCTGTCGAAAAAAGAACATAAATATATTTATGCTTATCCAGTACAAGTAGGTACACAGATTTCTACTCACTGTTCTTTCAGGTCGCTGAATTGTCTTTCCAGATCGGCCATGTCATTCAAACACTCGTTCCTTCTTCTCTCATTTTCTGTTTCGTCAACTACAAATGCAAAGAGAATTTTCATCACAACTTTGTAAACGCAGAGCAAATAACAACAGCAATAAGTTAAGAGCGCGGAAAATATACTAACTGCTAGATTCGGAAGATGATTCATCGGAACTCAAGCTGCTTTCTTCCTCTTCGTCTTCGCTCATGTTTTCATCTTCATTAGGACTTCTCTCCACTTCTTCTTCTCCATTTTCTTCACCATCAACAGACGGCATATTTAAGAAAGCTACCTTTCAGTTGCAAAGAGCAAATTTCCCACACAATTTCTCGACAACGTACAGAAGAACTGCACTGTTGTGTTCATCCAGCTTGCCATGCGCAGAGGCTTTGAGCCTGCGTTCTTCCTTGCAGCGAAGGTTGCCACGAACACTCCATGCTTCAAGTTCACTCATTGACGTGTATCTTATCTTCAACACGGGTTGCGAGTAAGTATAGGCTGAATTTTTTGTTTTCAAATTCTGGTCACTTTAAAAAAATACATTGCTTCACACGTATGAAGAATGGAAGCTTTGAAAACTCAAGCATTCTTTTTGTTGTCAGTCTCTATTTCTCCTACTTTCTCTAAAGTATTTCCAGGAGTGTGACATGCATTATTCATGTACCAAAGGCACAAACTTGTCACTAGCAATGTTTAGGGGAACACCCCACAGGAAAATTTTCATTTTTAGAGGCTGAGCAATGCCTCTTCCTATGTAAATTTATTTTTAAAATTAAAATGTGAAATGGGAACACCATCTTCCCACTGGGAAGGTTCATTGGTTACGGAGATTTTGGAGCCCTCTATTTAGGTGAGTTGTACTCATCTTCTGTAATAGACCAATTTCGATATATTAAAATTCAGCCTAACACAATAGACCTCAGAACGAGGCTCTGGGGAATAAACCCCACAAACTCTGTATTTATTCCCCAGAGCCTCGTACTGAGGTCTATTGTTTTAGGCTGAATTTTAATATATCGAAATTGGTCTATTTGGCAAGTTGTTTTGCTACTGAATTTTTTATCATGTAGTCTTAATTTTATGCAGGACCCCTTTTGATACCAGCCTATGGCTGATGGGACTATCCTGCCTAAATAAAAATGACTTGACTAGACTTGACTTGACTCCCAAACCAACACCTGTTGAGCTGAGAATTTAACATAGATAGATTAACCCCACGCCCAACCTACTATCTGCAGGAGCACAGGTTCATTCTGAACTCAGCCCTTTGACAAATCCATCAAGGTTGAACCAGGGTTCATACCCTATTTCAGAAACAAATTTCCAGGACTTTTCCAGGACTCAGATTGATTTTTCCAGGATTCTAAAATTCACATTAACCTTTTCACTCCCAAGATCTTAATGTTAATTCTCCTTGCTGTCTGCCATACATTTCATATTTTTTTACTTGAGTTTAACAGATTTCCAGAACTTTCCAGGACCAGTAGCCCTTTTCCACGACTTTGCAGTCCTGGAAAATGCCACAATAAAATTCCAGGACTTTCCAGGTTTTCCAGGACCCGTACGAACCCTGTTGAACTTAGCAGGCACCAGGGTGACAGCTGTCACAGCCAGGGTTTGTACCCTTTTTTAGAAACAAATTTCCAGCACTTTTCCAGGACTTTTCCAGAACTCAGATTGATTTTTCCAGGATTCTAAAATTCACATTAACCCTTTCACTGCCAAGATCTCAATTTTAACTCTCCTTGCTGTCTGCCATACATTTCATATTTTTTACTTGAGTTTAACAGATTTCCAGCACTTTTCAGGACCAGTAGCCCTTTTCGAGGACCTTCCAGTCCTGGAAAATGCCACAATAAAATTCCAGGACTTTCCAGGTTTTCCAGGACCCGTACAAACCCTGCACAGCTGTAGGGATCACTAAGCCACTCCAGCCTCACCACCACGGAGAGTTAATCACCCAAGGAGAAGGTGCACCATTTAGGTGCTGAAAGTCAGAAAGTGTCAATGACTGCATCATTACCAATACTTTCACTTTAATAGAAGCTTATACAGTACGTCTAAGTTTGACAGAGATCGATGCATGCCCAAGATCCCAAGATCAATGGATGCCAACTACAACAGCACCACCTTTTTAATAAAGCTGAATTAGTGAATACAGAGTCTGATCGAAAAGACAGCATAGCGAACTCAACAAGGTAGGATGCACACAGGAAAGCTGATTTCAGCTACTAAAGTTAACACCATGGTATAGCGTCTATTCTTTATGATATATAAGTATTAAGTAGCATTCCTTTTCTTGCCTAATGAAATGCATACCCAAATTAAGTTACATATAAACTACTGTCTGAGAATAATACAATTAAAACATTGTTCGGCTACTGTGATCGATTACAAGAAAGCATCACACCATTCCTTAAGGCAGTTATAACAGTCCGAGCCTTGTTTCTTGTTTGCTCCACATGTATCTTTAATCCAATCCATAAACATTTCTTCATCCTTCTTGAGAACAAGGAACTGACCCAGGACAACGTATGCTTTATCAAATCCTTTATCCTCCAGCCTTCCCGCCAGGACTGGCCCGATCCCTGCGAGCTCTGTTACAGGCTTCTCACCCATGGGCTCACTCACAAAGTTTCTATGTTTCTGCGACGTGGAACTCATGATCCTAAGAGAAATACATGTATAAGCTCAAGCATCAATTATTTAAGAGACTAAACTTAGCGCGCAGCAGGCATGGAGATTACGTTTGTAGAAGACGATATTTTTAGATTTTTGAAGAGATGTAGTGATGATAAATACCGCATACGGTCTTGCCTGCTGAAATAATATCAAGGAAAGAAAGCAAATTACCTCAGTCTAAGCCAAGATCTTTCTCTTTTACACTGAATCGACGAGGAACTGGTGAAATTGATTCGGTAAAAAGACGCACGGAATAACCTGTATCTCCAAATAAGGCTAACTTGGCCATATATGGAGTACAACTCTGGCGGGAAATCGAAAGTCTTTAGTTGCCACGCCTGCAATATTTCCCAAACAGTTTTTGTAACGTAAAGGAGTTGAGTTTCAAAGAAGATAGACTGTAAATTTGATTGTATTTATAGAAAAAATGAGCTCTGGAAGGGGAAAACCAGGGAAGAGAAAGGCTGCAGCTTCAAAGGCTCCTGCAGCAACTAAGAAACCGCGGAAGCCTCGAGGAATGGTCGAACTTCCCGAAGGAATCGTCTTGACAGATTTGACCAAGAAAAAGTGGCGCCTCGGAAGGTTGATTGGCTGGGGCGGTTTTGGAGCCCTCTATTTAGGTGACTTGTAATCTAGAACTGTAAAGTTAGTTGCATTTCTGGCTCTGGCGGATCCTATTGAGGTTGCTCAAAGAGAAGTGGAGCCGGGGGGGTGGGGGGGGGGGTAGGGTGAGTAGCTTCAAATTGTTGGGGACGTGGGTGAATTGGCCCCTCCTTGGACTCTACTGCCAGTTTCTTTTGAAGTTTCTTGCATGTTGCACCCGCTCCATGCTTCCCCCACCATCTTAATTTCAGAGCAGGGGATTGTTTTTAATTTCCGGAGGGAGAGGTGCAGAAAGGGACATATAATTTGATACATTTTGCTGCATCTGGAAAGGCTACTTAGTGTTAATGTATGTGCATAATTGCAAGTTATTTATTTTTTTAATCCGTAGCACCTTGTGTAATAAATACATTTGTGAACACTATTGTCTTATTTCCTTTTTTGGCAGCTTCTCCAGATAGTGGGTCACCAGTTCACGAAAATGCTGAACATGTTGTCAAAGTGGTAAGAACTAAGCCATGGCTGGTACAAGTGACAGTGTTTATACAGAAGACCGATACCAGACCAATATCATAATTCAAATCAAATATAAACAGTTTGAAATATTTTAGCTGTAGGGTGGATCTCATTGCTAAAAGAACTGACTTCACAAAGGAGGTTTATATGTCAACAAAATAATTGAAGGAAGTTAATGCTTCACTGAAAAAACTTGGTTAAAAAGTCAGAACTGGAAAAAAGAGAGTAAAGTTCAGTCCTCATTAGTAGACCTGAGTTAAATGATTAATGTCAAACTACTCTATACTAGATAATCGTGTTCTTGAAGTTAACATGTTCCCACAAATGAGGAAAAAAATACAGTAGCTATCGGTTTGAAAATGGTTCTTGGGAAATAAAGTCAGGTTCTCAGGAATTATATAAGAGAGCTTAAGCTTCGTAGTTAACTAATAGCACTCTCAGAGAAGAAACTTTTGACATTAAATTTCTTTTTTTTCTCAGGAACCTCACACCAATGGACCTCTATTTACAGAACTTGCGTTTTACCAGCGTGTAGCGAAGCCAGATCTGAGTATGTGACTTGGCAATTTACAGTAATTTTTAGCATTGCAGCCTGATAACAAACCCCTTCCTTAGCCCTCAAAATAATACAGATATCAGCAACCATCCCAAGGGGAGGTTGAGGCCTTTGGACCCCAGAGCCTACCCCTGGCGTTTTTAACTGTATGTAAGACTCCAAATCTTGAGGGTTTATTGTGTTGGGTCTAGTGATGGTATACATTATGAATGATACAACTTATTCAACAACTGCATAAATTTCATTCCTGTTCTGGCATTTTTTGCTTCTTTTTTTCTTGTGTGGCTTCCATGTAGATTGAAAGAATACCCTTAGCAATGCTACCCAGTATATGGTGTAATTGAATCCTGTAAAAGTGCTAGCAGGACAGAACTTTTAACCCTGTATACATAAAAGGAGCATCTCGTCAGTATGATGAGCACCTCCCCTTGTTTTCAATTCTCTTTGTACTGCCAAATTAATTCTTAAACTAACAGAACCAACATGACAGGAATTATATCTGGCAGTAATTTTGCAAAATTTCGTATTTTTAGTGGAAGACTGAATTATGTATGTACATGTACTATGTAAATCTTTGTGTTTTGTGTCATCAGTTAACAGCTGGTGTAAGTCACGTCGCCTAAAGCATCTTGGTGTTCCCATGTTCTTGGGATCTGGATCATTTGATCATGGCTCCACTAAGCTGCGTTTTTTAGTTTTGGAGCGCTTTGGGAAAGATGTGGATGAGCTCTTTATCAGCAACGGCCGTAGATTTGATATAACAACAGTCCTCATGCTTGGCCTTAGAGTTGTAAGTACTACATTTTGCTGCTATAATCGGGAATCCAACGAAATGCCTTTAATTTTATTTGTAGCATTAATCTACTGCGGTTTTTTTGTTATGTTTTGTATCATAAGTATCAAGAGGCAGTTGTTATCAGGGCTGGCATTAAGTTTTGAGTCACCTGTTGCCTTGTTCTCGACACTTGTTGCAAACTTGTTACTTTGTGGTTGAATTCTATCAACAACAGGCAATTTCACCTGTACATGTACATGTAACAGGTGTTACGGGTTACGGCCCTTAATGACAGCCCTGGTTATCCTGAATTCCCTTCAGTTTTACAACCTTCGTAAAATTTATAATTTTTATTTTGTTATGAAAAAGAAAATGTTAGGAAGAGTTTGAAATTAATGGCTCGCAGTTGATAATGAAATCAGTACAGTAGAAATGTTGTAACCAGTTAGGGATTAAAAATGATGCCATTTGTTGGTGAAATTCTATAGGAGGGTATTTGCCTTGAACAAACTGGTCACTGCTAGCCAGCTATTGGGCAATAATCCTTTAATAGTGAGGTTTGTTTTGTTGATATTAGGTTGATGCTCTGGAGTACATTCATTGTCATGAGTACACTCATGGTGACATCAAAGGATCTAACCTTATGATGGGATTCTCCAAATCTAAATCTGGTCAAGTAAGCAAGGAACATTTTTGAATTAAATTCATTCCTATAATGCCACAATTGTGAGAAGAATTGGCTTAACTATTGTGATTTATAGTTATTTATTTATTGTTTTTCAAAAATATTTTTATTATTGATTCAGTTGTTGTACATATTCATAACAGAAGGCTGTCAGAGAGAGATATTTCTTCTTGTGATGGGTCTACGTAAAATGATTAGCATCCTCCTAAGATAGTTGATTGGTTTTGCCCAGTTCTTTCTAAGAAGCAAGCAATCACAGGAAACCACAATACCCTTCTTCTCTCTTAACGTACAAGCAAGTTAAAACTATTATTAAATACATTTTCTTGATTTTTGAATTATACATTAACTAGAAGTTATATAAACAAAAGCCTCCATTTGGTGTAAACATATGCTTGGATGTTTGTCCACAGATACATGTATTATCTGTTCTGAGAAGTGAACAGTTTCCTGAGAGGGAAGCTCAAGGAAAAATGTGAGCTTTGAGCAACAGATAATGCCCAAGGACAAATATCGGAACATATTTTTGCACCAAATGGAGGTTATTGTGTTTATTATCCTTCAAACAGTTTTCCAAACATGCACAGTTCTGAAAGCTGTCGAATATCACTCGCATATTCCCCAGTTTTAGCTGGGGCATATTCAGTCAAGTCATGTGATGCATTTAGACCAATCAAGTACAGGCGAAAATATTTGATGGGTAACATAACTAGGGTATCAATACTGTATTTCTCGTCTCAATAGAGTCATGATCAAGATTACATGTATATTTGAAGCAAAGAATAATATTTTTATTGTGCTTAATGTAAACATTGTGGATGTTTTCTCTAGGTGTATCTGTTAGACTATGGCCTTGTATATCGGTTTAATCCTGAAGGGAATCATAAAGAATACAAAGAGGATCCAAAGAGAAAACATGATGGTACAGCAGAATTCACCAGCAGAGATGCACACAATGGTGTAGGTAAGGATAATGACAGAGGCTGCAGAGCTGCACAACTTTCAAGTAGCTGTTTTCACTTTTTAATTGAACAGTGGATTTACCATGAAATTCAATTTAGCATCTAGTTGCATAATATTAAAATTTTGCCTTTGGTGACGTGATGTAGCCCGTGGTGCAGCAAGACTAGCCTGCGTGGCAGACATCAAAGGGGAGACAAAGGGGAAAAAACGAGTACACTAAGCAAGTGAGCGTGATGGAAGGGGACCTCCTCCTCCCCTTCCAAAACTCCCGCGCTCCTTTTGACCCTTTCCCTCCCCTTCTACGGCCTGCCACACAGGCTACAGCAAGACATGTCACAAAATCCTTGATGTATAAAACCGGTTGACAGTGTAGATGTCTGACACAAACTACATGTGGCTCAATGAAGAGTGCTTAAATTAGGGATTGGACACTTATTCAAGAATCAGGTTGCTAGGTTGTTTTTATTTTCTGCCCTCATTTGGCATCGCTGAAGTACCTAAACTTCAAGCCATGAACTTGGCTAAACTTTCCATGAGACTACACCAAAAACTAAAGAAAAATCTTACAATAACAAAACTAAACTAGGCTTGGTACATGTTTATAGTAACACTGGGAGCTAGTAACCATCCGAGTCCTGTGTGGTATTTTCTCCAAAGGCAAATGCAGGAACCTTGAAACCTCTTGTGTCCAATGCATGTGGCTTTGGTAATGTTGAGTTTGTCTGGATCCTTAATATTGTTCATTTTATTGACAATTTTGAGTTTTGTAGTTACCTCTCGGCGTAGTGACTTGGAGATTTTGGGTTATGTGATGCTCCAGTGGTTGTGCAATAGACTTCCCTGGGAAAACAATCTTGAGGATAAGGAATATGTCAAGAATGAAAAGATAAGGTATTTAGTGTGTGTATTGAAACTACTGTAAGTATTTTGAAACAATTTGCACAAATTAGATACATGTACTGCATGGTTGAATACTTAGACATCTTTGAAGTCAGCGAAGATAATTTTGTAATTCTAAACTTCGCACTGTAATTATTGTAATGCACTATTGCACTAAAGGGAAATAGCAGTATCTAAATAAAGTATTATTTATTATTATTATTATTATTATTATTATTATTATTATTATTATCGTATCTATAACAAAATTCTCGTGCCTGTTTGTCACGTAATTGGCACACGATCATGTAGGTGTCCAATTACAGGTATCCAGTTTGAACTGTTTGTAATTAGATACCTGTGATTGGATACCCACGTGATTCGCACGTTAATTATGCGCACCTTAATGGCTTCCTTTGCATTGTTTCTTACAGTTTTCAAAACTTATGAAAAGCACTAGAAACGTTTTCACTCAAAAGAAGTTCTCAAAAAACATTTTGAAGATAAAATTTGTTATAGATATGATTAATT